AAGAGCATCGCCCCAGGGGGCCGGCGGCAGAGCCTCTTCCCAACGGGCTGGGACTCATGAATTTAATGTCCTCTGAAGAGCGGCTCACTTGGAATCAAGCTCACTCCTGACCTTTTCCCCGAGCAGCGGGACAGTCAAACAGGAGACGGGGACATGAGGGGTTTTTTTAATGACTTTTATTCATGAACTATTTATAAAAAGGTGTAAAATACACTCCAATATATTTGATTTGTTGACTGTAGCTAGAAATATAAAAATAGACTTAGACAAATGCATAAATTAAATTGCCAAGAGTAGCACAATTCTGTGTTCGCCCAGCATTTGTTAGGAACACAAATACAAGTAATTATATAGCATTTGAGAATGGAATATATGCTGAAAATGTTTTTCAGCCACTTTACCTCAGGCACAGGCAAGAAAATTACGGCTAGCCATATAGAGAGCAATCTGTATTGAGCTACTTGACTTACAGTATTTCCTTAGCTTGCAAATAAATCAAGAAACAGAGTCCTGCATGTCAACCTGCCAGTCTCACTGACGCTGTGTGTATGTGCCCGAATTCCAAAGTATTTGCTGGATTTAGCTAGTCCCTCCTCTCCAGGATTTCCTACCAGTCTGAAGGCGCCCGGTCTGCCCCGCTGCCTCTCTCAGCATTTCCCCCTCCATGGCTATGAGGAGCCGCTGATGCCGAGACGAGATCCCGGCGCTCCCAGCGCCCCGTGCCGGGCTGAGAGCCGATGTGCTCCCGTGTGCCGGCGTTTGACCTGCTGCCTCCTAAGTCAGGGCATCGACACCAGGGCACAGTACGTAACACAAACACAGAGCCCACACGTTTTGTTTTCTCCATTATTAAACCGAAAGGAAATTCATAATATATCATGGCGTAAAATAGTATTTCTGGCAATATTAGGCACTCATATAAGCTGTATAAATAACTTCAGCAGCAGCGAAAAATGTATAAAGTTGCACTTTTATGACATCTTCACAGTATGCCTATTTCTCTCACCCACTTCGGTGTTTCATTAGTAACAAAAAATATCATTTAACAATTCCAGCTATGTAAAATCTTTTTTTTCTTTTTTCTCTATAATCGGTAGTGGATCTTGTAATTGTATTGCACAGGTTAAAAATGTCAGTTACATTTTTTTTCATTATTAAATAACTTTCATTACAAAAATTTGAATTAACCTAAAAGCCCAACCCTGTAAGTGCTTCAGAAGTTGAACAGTGTTTTCAAGCTTTTTCCATGTTGTCTTTCACCAAGGTACTCGGGCAGCTCTGTGGTTCACAGGCCTGGGCTCCAAGTGTGCAAATCTCAGCTCGTGGATCAGCAGTAGCACTCACCTTGCTTCGTAGCAGTGTTATTGGAAGCATCCAGAGGGAATCCTGACCTTTGTCTGCAGACATTCAAACAGACCCATCCTCTTCGGGCGAGGATGCTTCTTCTGTAAGAGCAGCCCTTGCTCAATTCACAGGCCCCTTCAAGTCCCTTCCTGTTACATTAGCATCTTCCCACTAGTCCTGCACCAGCTTAGAGGCACAGTGAATAGAACCAGCTCTAGTGATAAGAAGGTGTCTTATATTTTAAAAAAATGCTACATAGATACTTTTTATTTGCTCTCAGTAGATCAAATGTGACGCATGCAGCACCATGACCCCACACACAGGGCCCTAAGTTCAGCTGCTATTGCTGGAGTCAGGACCCGAAGCTGCCATCCTCGTTTGTCCTTTCCTGCTCCTCCAGAGCTTATCTAGCAAAGGAGCGGAGGAAAAAGCAAGAGAACCTGCACATTCTGGGGGTCTTGCCCAGCCTTCCCCAGGTAACATGGGCCTCCACGATACCACTGTTCCCTCCTTCAGACCCTGGGATCTGAAGCAGTTTGTGCGGGTGCACGAGGGATCTACAAGGCGCCTGAGCAATGTTTTCATACAGAGACATCTAAAAGTCTGGCTGAGCCCACGCGCTCGGAGCTGCTGTGAAAGCTGACACCAAGGCTGGCGTCTGAGGCCTCTGAGGATGTTTAGTCAGGAAAGGCTGAGGCCAGTTGTGTCAAGTCTAGGATATAGGTCTTTATATGCCTTTGTTTCCTTAATACGCTTGTAGTCTCTCTATTTTTAAGCTGTCATGGTCCAAGGTTTTTCTTTTTTTGCATGAGTTGTCAAAGCTGCCAGGGCTGGTATCCTGGCAGGCTCTGTCCTTGCGTCTGGCTGGGGCATTTCCTCTGCCCGCGTGTCCGTGCTCCCAGGACAAGCAGAGCTCTGGGCCCGCTCCCTCGGGAAGCGGGATGAGCCAGGCAGGGCCGTGGCTCCCCGCGGAGCCCAGGGGCTGCGGAGGCCTCACCCGAGCGCAGGGCAGCGCGGGGGGCTGCGGCGCTTCCACTGCCACCTGGGCCTGAAGCAGCTGCTTTCCCAGGGGAGGGCCCTGCTTCCCCGGCCCTTGGTGAGTGCTGGGAAAGGTGTGGAGCAGCACCTTGACTCCTGTGCAGGGCCACTGTTCCCTTGCACAATAGTAGCTTATTTCATCTCACAAACACAGAACTAGTCAAAAGACAAAAAAAAAAAAGAGAGAAAAAAAGAGAAACAGTCCTACTAGGACTCTTTCCTGTGTGCTACGTGCCAGTACATAACCTGCTCCCAATTCAGCTGTCCTGTTAGCCATACAATTCAAAATAGTTTATGTAGAACAGTTTATAAAAAACTGTGATAAGAAAATAATAGCATTATCTGAGGCTTAATATTAATATAAACACTATAGAAAAAAATACATATTTACATAATGCCAAAATACAATTATATACATTAATATCCATTACACTTAAATTATATATCTTTAAAAACAATCACCAGACCAATAAATTATACACAGTCTCAACAGAAAGGTCTGGCACCTTTCTAGTGCATGAAATACATATATAAAAAAGAAACAAACAAAATCGCTAGTTAGCAAACGTGGTCACAAAAGTAATTGTCTGTAACATTCTTAGTGCCTCGAATAAACAGCATCTGAAAGCAAGAAAAAAAAACAAAATTAGAAAAAAAAAGAAAAAATAAGAAATTTAGAATGAAAAAACACAAAGCAGGTGGCTTGACTTTCCTCTCTGCTCTGAGAGGTGCCTGTGGCAGCAGCACTGGCTGGTGAGTGACATGAGAACTGAGGAGCAGATCCCAGCTCTGCTTTTTGCTAACAAACAACAGCCCTGACTTGTGCAACTCTGCTCATTTCAACCCTTGGCTTCTTCCAAACCTGCTCTGCCTGTTGGCAGCAACGCTGATGTGGAAAGGCTAGATGAGCAAAACTATTCTGATGCCTCATTGTATTAGCTAGGTTCCTACTACCCAACCATGAGGACCCACCGAGGTCCTGCAGCCTGAAAGTGGCCACAGCCGTCAGGGCTCCCCCACGAGGTGCTGCCACCTCTGCTCATGGTTTGAGGTGCTGCCACCTCTGCTCCTGGTTTGAGCTGCTGCCAGCTCTGCACAGGGTCTCTCCTGGCTGCTCCTCTGCCCATGAGAGCCGGGGCGCCGGGCAGTGCCCCCGCTGCAGGGCAGCGCAGGGAGGGAGCTGGACGTGGTCCTGCACTGGACATGTTCCTGCACGGATCTTGCCCTGCTGCTCAGCCCCTCTGCAGCACCAGCAGCTGCCCCAGCTTGCTGGGGCTTTGGCCTAGGCCAGCAAAGCTGGGACAGTTTGGAAAACTCAACTCCTGGTAGGAAGGTGCAACAGGCAGATGTTCAGCACACTCCTCAGGGAGGCAGCAGACCTCGGGTCCATGCTGCCTGTGAGGAGACTCATGGGCTAGGGCTCTGAGCTCAGGGGCACTTCCCAAAGCTGGGACAGGGCTGGCTGTGGTTCCAATGCCAGCTGCATCTGCAGGAACCTCCCCTTCTCTGCAGCCACGGGGAAAATAAACAAAACAAAACAGCAGCCCTGCCCTATGCCCTCGAGCTATAATGTGCTCCAACACATCAGTCACGACTGTGAGGCCCCAAAGATGTTGCTGAGATGCAGCCACAACAGCATCCTCTGGTCTCGCCTTGGAAATGAGATCAGGCTTCTTGGGCATGTTTTCTTCCAAGGTCTACATGTACAGGGAGCCCTGGGTACCAAACGGGATGAGGGTTTGCAGGCAGCAAGGTGTCTATAGGCTCTCCAAAACTGATGTCTCCCTGTGAATATGGCTGTAAATTGTTATCACTAATGGACTGGATACAGACAAGGAAAAAGGCAAATAAAGAATTAGGGAGTTGCAAGAAGAAGAAAGACCACAGACTTGGACACTTACATAATGTGCTTAATGCAGGTGGAAGTCTCCTAAGGCTCCCCATACAGTATGGGGAAAAGGAGTGTGATTCAAGGCAGAAATCCCTAGAAGACTCCATCAATGACAGCAGAGAGCAGGGAGCCCCAGCCTGTGGCCTCAGGGGGCTTAAAGGGAGACAGGCAAATGAGGAAGCCAAGATTATGACAGGGAAAGGGCTCCATTTCCTTTAACAGCACAGGAATCAAAGTTTGATACAGGGGGAACAAGAAGGTAAGATAAGAGCAGGAATAGATGTCATAGTGACTGGTAATGGAGGAAATAAATTTGGAGCTGCTAAAATTTGGTGCGGAAGCCCCTTGAGAGGAAGATGAAGTTGCAAGAGTGACAAGAACAGAGCAGTGAGGAAATTAAATCTCCTCAGTTAAATTGTCCATGAGTTATTACATTTGAAACATTTTACAATTCAGTAAACTTGCACTTACCTCTGTGATAATCTGGATTCACATTTTCATATATTGGAAACAAGGGATTTTCTTGTTCACCACGTATTTTTCTGGCTCTTAACACATCTCGCACGCACTGATGTAAATACACATACTGACACTGCAAAACATGTTGCATTTTTTTAAAGTCACACTGGGAAATTCTGTAACTCCTTTTGCTTTACTGTGAAGAATGATTCCAGGCTAACAAAATAAGGATGGTATTTAAAATGAATACATTCTTCTAGAATTAATCTCTTGTCTACACTCGTAATATAGTAATCTGTTTCATGATGGTGCATACAGGAAGTATTTCTTTCTACAAAATAAGTTCATTCTTCACTAAATATCTTTTTTTAGAAATACTACAGATATAGCATATAAGTTAATATAAGTTTATATATGTTAATATATTTTGACTGTTCATGTCGTGACTGGAAGCCAAATCAGGCATGATTCGGCATGATGCTGTGTTGAGTAGCTACTGCTATTGACATGCTTTGATAGAACATTAAGTAAAAGAGCACCCAGAATGCTCTATATGAAGCAGTATCTTTTGATCCAGTGCAAGCTGTGAGACTGCTTTGACTCTGTGCTGAATGGCACTGCTGTTCTGCACATACAGCTGCTGCCCCCGCAGGTGAAAGGCCCGAATCAGAAGCTGGGGGCAGATGTGAGCCACAGCTTAATTACGTTGTTAATTAACGTTGTGCTGAGAGACAGCAGCTCCCTGCCTGGGCACTGACACAGCTCCCAGGCCACCAAGCTGCAGAGAGCACGAGCAAGGTGAGCACGTGTGAGCAGCAAGAGCCTCTGCCAAGCCGGGGCGCTGCTCCCTCAGCCTGGGTGCTGCCTGGGGCTCCTGCTGCGGGCAGCGCTGGGCACAGCGGGGCTGGCGCAGGGCAGAGGCGCTGCCGGGGCCGGGCAGCAGCGTGTGGGGCTGCTGGAGGGGGCTGCTCTCTGCTGCTTGGGCCTGGCTGGCTTTGGAGTTGAGTCTCATGCCACAGGTGGGTTTCATCACGTAACTCTTGTGTCAAACCTAGGCTCTCAAAGTAGCAGGGAGAGCAGCAAGCTTTGTTTTTTCCCCTCTTTTTTTCCCCAGTACTCAGATAGGAGTACAGGTGAGGGGGAAAAAAACACCCTCCTGAGGTGCCTGTTGGCCTTCGCTGACTACAACTAGAGGGAAGAGATGGAGCCGTCTCTGAGGATGTCCAGACATCCAGGCTGAGAATTTGTCTCATCTCAGAAAGGAGTTTTTCTGTGATTAGACAATTCTAGGAAATTTCTCTCTTCTGCATTCCCAATAGCACCTCTCTTTATATCCATCTGTGTCTTCTACATCTATCAGGAAGCTCAGCCACTGATATTTTTGTTTCCAAATTGCAGCAAAAAGAGCTCCATTAGTATCAAGCTACAGACAGACCCATCAAAGCTGTTCTAATTCCTCTATTAACAGTTCACAGGGAAAATGCCCAGAGTGCCTCCACAACTCTCCTTTGTAAAATCAGCTCCTAAGTGTTTAGGTGCTATTAGCTTGAAGTGATTTTCTTACACTTTTAAAAGCATTGAAAAAATCCCAAACACTTTTTCTGCACTGCACTATCCTTCTGCATAATGGATTAGGATAAGACTGAGCAACTTTTCCAGTATCATTAATGAAAGATGGACAGAGCAGCTTAGTAAAAAACGAACTGCAAAGTCACCAATGCTGGAGTTTTAAAATGATAAACATTTAAATAATTATTTCATCCTCTCATTCCTTTTGTGTCTACCTATCAGTCTGCTTTAGGGTTGTCTTCCAATCTCATCACCCATGGAGATATTTTAAAGAGATAAAATGGGCATTATATTAACAGTACAATGTGCTGTTAAATGTCTTCTGCATTAAGCTGTCAGGCTGACTGTGATCCTGTGGCAGTGGGAGAAAATATCTATAGACAGTAGAGCTACCACTTGTAAGAGTTGTAACTTCTGTATGAGGGCCAATAAAAATGATCCTGAACTAGAGGTTCTCACAGTTAAAATACCTGACTGGAATTCCTCAGTGGGGTAACCGTGAAGTGCTTTGAGAGCCTTTAAGGGGACAGAGTATTACTTAGTGCAACTGATGTTGCCCTGTACTGTAGGCTGTGCAGGACTTACCTCTGTCTGGACCATGTGAACCCGATGAAGCCTCAAGTCATGCACTGCTGCATAAATGTCAACTGTGTCCTTGGAATCCAGCTGCTGCAGAATTCGGTCCAGGGCAATGAATGTGCCAGTCCTCCCAACGCCAGCACTGGGGGAAAAGGAAGAGTTTTAAAAATATATTGATCATGGCACTGTTCCTATGAACTCACTGCTCATACGGCATCTCTGAGATTCCAAATTCCTTATGGTGGAACTAGGTTTGAGAAAAGAAGAGAGGAGCCATGGGGAAGCCATGGAAGAGGTTTCACTGCTACTGCCCATCCTGCTTTCTGTTTTGCATCAGCTCAGGCTCTCGGTTAGCTGAGGGACTGCACCTGACTGTAAGGCACTCTTAAGCTTCCAGTTCTTTCCAGAGGTGAATCTGGAGGCTTGACTCTGTAAGGGAAGTTGGCAAGTATCTTATGGAAAGGCATCCAAGGCAGAGTCTTGCCAACCTTTTAATGTCCCAGAGTCGCCAGCAGCTGAAATGCTGGGAAGTGGGTAAGGAGGGAAAAGAGAAAAGCTGACAAGCCAGTGCTGAGGTCTGCCCTGTGGTACATGATGGACAGGTGACACAGGTGGGTCACGTAACATACCTGCCTCAGCCACATAGCACAAAGGCAATTTAGGAATGCAAGAAAAAAAAAAAAAAAAGAGAGATGAGCCACTTCTGAAGTGGCAACCTGGCACTTTCAGTGTCCTCTTGCAGTCCCACAGAGGCACAGTGGTTCCCTGGGTACCATTTTCGGGGCACCTGCAGGGGGAGGTTGTGAGCGCGTGTGCCTTGGGAACTGCTGCTCTGAGGTCCCTGGAGATGAGACCCATCCGCTCACTCTCACACTCTGTGGCTGCCCACGGCCTAACAGACACAAATTCTAGAGAACTTCCCAGGGGCTTGTACAAAAGCTCTGTGCCACCAAGTCACTGATGCTGCACGTACCTGCAGTGCACGATGCTCGGTCCCGCGTTCGGAGTCCTGTTGATGTAATCCCTTACGGTTCTGACAAACTGGATCAGAGACTGGGTGGTCTCTGGCACACCATGATCTGGCCACACAGTGTAGTGGAAGTGACGAATGAGCCTCGTTGAGTTGAGCTGCTCTTCCTGCCGGGACACAGAAGTGTGGGTTAGCAGGACAAGCGAGCCAGGCGGGTGCACACACACCCCTTGCACCTTCACAGTGAATGTTATTTTACTGCAGCTGACACCAAAGATGAGCTGGGTATGAGGCAATTGAGGTAAAGCCAGATTAAAACTGCTTAATTCAGTCGTGCAGGCTTTTCTATGACAATTAATTTAAATACATACATATATAAAAATGAATCCAAACATACACTGCAGATTTTAAACTCTCGTATTGTCCACTCTGGGAGCACTGACTCGGATAGCATCTCTACAATCAGGTCTCCATAATACAAGGAATCCTGGTCAAGGGGCCAGTAGTGATCACACTTCACCTGCAGGGAGAGAGGAAAATACGGATTCAGTGTTGATGACAGCCAGAGCCCATGCCCCCATCCAGACTGGCAGGAGGAGACTTCATTATCAGGCCTCCTTTGCCTGAAACTGCAGGAAGAAAAGCATAGCTGGATTCAGAGATTTGCCACCCCCTGCCCTATCAGTTCAACAACCAGCCCTGGGCTATGGCCAGGAACTGGAAATTCCCATTGTGGATGCTGCTGATGGCGGGAATGAGAATTTCTTCACTAATGTCCTTTTGTGTGCACCACAGTGCTTTCTACAGCATCCCCTCTTGCCACCTGCAGCTTCTCCTGGCTCTGCAGGGACAACAGCCGGCCTTCCAGCACCTGCATCCCTGCCTCTTGCCGAGATGCGATGGGGGCCCACTCGGAGCTGCTCGTGTGCAGGAGGAGACAGCAAAAAGGAACGTCAGCCAGGAAGAAACACCCTCTACGTCCCATTAGACCACACTCCTTCACGCTGGCTTCTCCACGCAGATTTAGCCCCGTTTGCAGAGGTGCAGGAGGTGCTCACACTTGGGCAGGGGGATTGCTGAGCCAGCTCAGTAACCTACATGCACTGGCACCCAGGAGGGCTGTTAAGTGCAAGTGATCTCTTGGCTTACTGCTTAAAGGCTTAACTCACAAAGAATGCCATATATTTAATGATGAAGGTGGGCTCTCCAGAGCTTATATTTAAAGCGATAGCTCATCTAAGCTCCCGGTGTTTGTCCTCTTAAGTGTAGTAAGTTTTTTTGTTTTGTTTTGTTTTAATGAATCCTCCAATTCTTTTAACTCTTGAGATGATCAGCAAAGGAGATGAATAGAATACAAGTACACAGTGGGTTTGCCTGAGTCTCCATGCAGCCTCAAACAACAGCTTGAGAAAAAAACCCAGAAGTGCTTCACTTCTGCCAAACACACACTCACAGCTTGTGATGTGATGTTGGCAACAAAAATACCAGCATTTTAAGTTAATTTGCTAATTATTAAAGTGCAGGATAAAGAAGAGAAAAAATCATTTTATAATAATTGACTACAAACAGATGCTACTTGGACATTGTAAGTAGATGGGGCTTGAGATAGTCCTGCATTTCTACTGAATTTGCCAGCTTTTTATAAGTATTTGAGAATAGAAGGAACTTGCTCTGAATTTTCACTTCCATATACAGAGCCTTAAAAATGAAATAACCTCAGGTGACTTCATTACTTTTCTGTGGGAAGAAGCACGGGAAACTAAATAAGAACAGTTCCCTTTTCTACTTCTTTCTCTACAACTCATGGAAAATACTCTCATGATCACTGCATTCTCACTTCACAGCCCTAGCCCATATCCTGTCTTCAGATTATAGCTCTTGCCTCTTAGTGTATTTTGTTTTCTCCTTGACGAGGGCCTTTGGTGTTGTAGTGTGATGCAAATAATGAGCATAAACATTTAATATATGTGAAAACATTCAGTAATAATGAGATAGAGTCACTGCTTACCCGGCCCTTCTCAACACACTGGGTGACCATGACAATATTGTGAACGTTTTGTTCCCATGCCATCTTCCAGAACTCATCCTTGGTGCCAGGCAAAGGGCCCTGAGTTGCTATGTATTCCCTGCGGAAATTATTGCCCTGCAAATAGAGAAAACTCTATTAGCTTCCATCAAGGTGAAAGGAGAGATCTTCTAGCAAGTGAACGAGGCACGGGGCTGCACGTGGGTTCTGCAGCAGCTGTGCCTTGCTGGGACAGGAGCTTTGGGAGTGCAAGGGCTGCCTTAGCCCTAGAACAGAAGGCTGGTGAGAGCAGAGAGAAGGAAGATCCCATACCAGCTAAACTAAATATGGTTCTTTCTGTGGCAGTCAGAGCTTTTCATTGTTCAGCATATTGTGTTCAGCACATTGCCCCAAGCAGTTTTGGAACTGCTAGACTTTTTTGTTTTATTTTTACTCTGTAATAAATTAGCTAAATTCTGGATTGAAATCTGGCTTGCTGTGGCCATTGCTGCTGTCAATCCCAGCTCTCTGGCAAAGGGCCCCACTGTGACCTCAGCCAGTTCCCCATCGTGCAAGGCACCAGCACTGCCAGGACGGGCTGCGGTGCCACGAGGCTGCCACCTGCGGTGACAGCTACGATTATGTGGACACTGTGTTAAGTCACTGACCTTTGAAAGTATGTCCTTGGCCAATTAAACCTGCTGTCTTATATAACTACAGCAATCCAAGGAAATGGCCTTAAATGCTGGCTAAATCGCTCACAGTTAACTTAATGGCAGTCAGACACAGCATTTCAGCATGCCCACAAAATGCATTCCCAGGCTTTAGCTAAAGTGAATGAATGAAGGAGGGGAGCCTTAAGCACACAGCTGCAGATTCAGTTTTAGATGAAGGACAATTAGCTCTGGAGAGAGGGCTGTAAAATAACATCCTTGAGTCACTTACTGGTATGTAGCTTGCATTAATGTAGTCTGAGCAAGGGTCATCGTCCACATTGGAAAGCTTCACTCTTGATGCATCATCTAGGAAGAAATGGATTACAGGAGACTCATAGTTAGGTCTTGTTTTCCCCCATTTATAGAAATGTATATGTGAAAGGACTGGCAGGATTGTTATAGGGATTTTATAGGCAGAGCTAATTTAGAGGGGCTACTGCTTATATTTGCATTGCCTTTTTCATCCTGAAGAGCTGTGGAGTGCTCCAAAAACTCTGAGATGGAGGGCAGGAGAGGAAGGCAGCAAATACTGAATATTTCCTCTGCTGAGCTCTGCAGGATTTGTTCCGGCAAGGGAAGAGCCACAACAGCATCCCCATCCAACAGCGCACGCTGTATCGAAGGGTAGTGCCCAGGGCTGCCCCTGACGGAGCAGCAGAGCTTCAGCAAGTCCTGCTGAGCGAGGAGGCCACATGCCCTCCCCAGGAGCAGGGACATCTCCAGAGCTAGGGAGGGACAGAGCGTCCAAGCCACCACTGTCATGCAGCAACTCCCTACTCTGCACTGTGCAGGAGGTTTGCTGTGACTTCTGAGGAAGAAACTGAGCCAGTGTGTCTGGCAGAGAGCACTGCCCCATAGGTAAATAACTCTATTGTTATTTCTGCTGTCCTTACTTGCAGCAGTGCCTGAGTGCCCATAGTGGAGCTTTCTCTCTCTGGAGTGAACTTTAGTCATTATACTGCTAGTATGAAATGAAATTACCAGTCTGTGTGAAGCCAATCAATCAGGGCCATATATCACCTGCCCCCAAACACCAGGATCAGAGCTGGCAGAGGTATTTCATCTCTGACTGGAAGGAGGGAAAGGATTGGCTACATTCTCCATTCCACTACTTTTGCTGAAAAACGTGAATAATAGCTCATGTGATGTATTATTACACAATCAACCCCAAAACTCACAGGGTAATATATTATTGTATCGATTTTTCCCTCTGTTCTCTGGCAGAAGTGCTATGTCACATGACTGGTTTCGACCCACATCTTTTAAGTCCTGCAAAAAAAGAAAAAAAGTGGAAATATAAAATGTGAGGTAAAAATAATGAAAGGATATGACAACACAGGGGGACACACAGAGCTTATTAGCTCTCAGAGGTAACGAACATGGATTTTTTTAATGAAACTGAAATTGCTAATCACACAGGTTTAAGGCAAGCAGAGGCTGCTGTCTATGTTTTGTCACATAGATATGCCATGCACCTGAGTGCTCCTGGCCTCTACCATGGAGGCAGCAAGCAGAGGCTGCTAGACACAAGATGCTCTGCCATGTGGAGAGCTGCTGTCAGCATTAGGGCTTGCAGAGCTCAAGCAAGACTCTCAAATTTGTTTTCATTTGTATGAACAGGACAAACAAATACAGGCTAACCCAGCCAGCCCCCCACTTCTTAAAGTAAGTTGTTGTCTATATTTTGTTCTTACCTCGTACTCCTTGGACAGGAGGTAATTGGAGTCTGCTTGCAGTTTGGTAAAGTATGCTTCAAACTGACCGACTTTGATTGGACTAGAATGTTCAACAGGAGGGAAAACAAAATACAGTTACCACAGGGTGAATCAAAGTCATAATTTATCCAATTTGTTACAAGAAAAAGTATCTTAAGTATTTAAATATTTCTCTTTACCTGGAAGTTTTCCGGTTCCTAGAAATGTTGTTGAAAGAAAAAGAAACACTTCATCAGTGACTGATCGCATGGACTGTTCATCCATGATGCCAATTTAAAACAGTTCTCTTTTAGAAACAAAACTTTTGATGTTACCCTTTTTGCCCCAGGTTCAGATGAACTGCGAGTGGCCTGTCCCCACGGATGCTCAGCCTTGCTGTAGGTCTCTCATGGCCATTGCTGGAATAGAAAGGAAAGTATTTGATCATTATGGCTCCTATACAGACAACAGCTGCCAGTAAGAAACTCTACTTCAGTAATCTGGGAAAAAAAAAAGGAGCTTTAAAAGTCCATTTTGATTTGTGGCTCAGATAATGGGATGTCATTCTTTGTCAAGGCAAAAATTTCTTGTAATTTAGTTTGGTGCCACTGAGATAGTAAGACCACTACAGGGCAACACGAGTTTGTCCATGCTCTGAAACATCCACAGCCCAGTCTATCATTCAGGAGGACATCCTGTGTCAAGAGAGGCCCCAAGTCAGTTGATCCTCTACATGCAGGATGCAGAAACATGTAAGTAGCAGCCTGATTTTCAGAGCTGCAGGAGGACTACAGCTTCCAGCACATCTATTCTGTTGAGCAGGCCTTTAGGACATGCCCAGGTTCACAGCCAGAGTAAGTGAGAGCACAACAGTGGGCTTTGGGAAGGCCACATGAGTAGTCTTGATTCCATATGGTTCCATAGTGTCTTTCTTCCTTTGACTGCCTCCTTCAACATACTGCCCTTTTCTCTTCATGTATGATGAGGGAAACTACTTCAGATGCTCGCAGTCCTGCTGGGTACGTAACATCTGAGAAACAACACTCTGAAATGCTTTCTACACTAAGAACCTTCTCATTGCATCTAGTTAGCCCAAACACCCCCAAAATATTTGTTCCTTCTGGAAGCTTGTAAAGTCGGTCAAGGTAGATGTGAAAGTCCCACTGAAATCAATGCTGTACAGGCATGCAAGTCCCTAGTAATGATGAAATGGCAATGAGATATGTAACACCTCACGTGAAAACATTTCATGCATGTGCAGCGTGTGAGTCTGTAGTCTGTGCATGCTGTTTATGTGTATGTACTGAGATGGTGCACAAATCCACACATGCAAAAGCAGACTTTATTCACTATTGCTAATGATCCGTGCCTTTTTCTGAGGGCTAAGAGTTAGGACTAGTCAGAAAGCAGTTTTTGTTCTATGGGAAATTCTGACTGTTTCAAGAACTTTCTTCCTAAAATCTAGATGAAAATCCTATGAGGCATTTCAATTTTGACAAAGTGCCATTAAATTTGGATGATAAACCAGTCTTTCAGAATTATTCAAACACTTCCACTGAAAACTAAAAGCTGCAGTGATCCCCTGTGGGATAATTCTTACTAACATCAGTGAGTATTTGAATCTTTTATCAATAATATATAATCTCTTAATATGTAAGGCTTTAGTTTCATATTCAATGCATTCAGATGTTGGGGGACCAAGATTTTGTCTGTCATTTTTCTAAAAATTTTCTAAAAATTGCTGCACTTTTCTGTAAATCTTGTATTGCCCAAATCACAATATGATTTGACTTCATTACAGAGGCCGATGACAGAACTCAACTTACCCAACTTTTTGCCTGCAGACAAATAAAGCAGTAACAGCCACCAACATCACAATGAGAAACAAGCCAGCACTCACACCTTCAATAACACCAAAGAGTGGCTCTAGAAACAGAATAGTGCATTTATACATTTTGAGGACAAAAGATCAACAATTTTTGTGAAATATGTTACTACTAGTTAATGAGAACACAAGGAAATTTAAGGCATCTAAACCTGGCTAAACCAGGTCTTGATTTTCTATGCTGCTTTCTCCAAACCTCACACAAAATCTTTTACTCCCACCCCTACTAAAATAAAAAGTACAGTCCCAATATCTGTGAGTTTGGTCTTCTTGTACTTGGAAACCTCACAGAGCAGTTATAACTCCAGAGCATTCACCCTTTCCTCTGCTCCCAGCAACTCCGTCAAGGATTCCTCCAGATTTTCAAACTAAGATTGGGTAAGACATGGCCCAGCCTCATTTCAAAGTAGCTTTCAGGATACTGCACCACTATTTGTTTCTGTTCCACTCCCCCAAAACAGTTCTGGATGCCAGAGGGTTTCAAAGTATAATTTACATTCAAACACTTTCTATAGCAACTGAAATATAATCCTGGAACTAACCTGACTCTGTAGTGATTGGTAAAGAGAAAAAGGTGTCTGCAAAGAGTGGTGTAGGGAGCTCCTTTGGGTCTTCACTGAAGAGCTGGGTGAAAGCCCGTATGCTGATCCTGAAAGGTGGTACAGTCACAGTTACTGGCAGGGGTGTCCGGGCAGAGGCAATGGCGGGGCACCTGGCTGCTGGCACCCTCAGCCTCACTGTGTCCCAAGGCAGGGCCAGCAGAAGCCGCAGCGGTGGGAGGACTCTGGAGGCTTCCCAGTGCGAGGTGCTTCCTCCTCACATGGCCGGGCTGATGGAGAAATGTTCTCCTCTCCTTAGTTCCCCTGGGACCTCCCAAAGTGAAGTGTGGGCAAATGTGCCCTAGTGAGCACAGTCTGTGCAGGGGCTCCTCAGCAATGCGTTTATGAGAGAAGCTGAGAACCACCATAGGCCCTGGCACCTGTCTTGTGTCCTGTGGCTGCCTCGTGGCAGCTCACAGACTTCTTGGGAAAGTATCTGCCTGTTTCAGGGGTGAGACTGAGATGCTCCAGGGCTCAAGTTTGCAGTCTCACAGCCTGGATAACCGGCGAGCCTGGCCATGGGAGCAGCCCTGTTCTATCCCTCACGGATAACCCAGGCCCAGCTCTGAGCGCTGTGCAGAGCCACAGGTTAGAACAAATCCCAAGGACTGGTGTGGGGTAGCAGGGACACAGGGAAAATGAACCCGCCTTGCCTTCTCCTGCTAAGCACTCTTCTCACTTAGCTGGCGGCCTTAAATTTTTTTCCAAAGAGATTTAGTAACCATATGAAAACCTTATATACATTTATATAGTTTATATACTATTTATGGAATAAAACTTTTATAAATTCCAGCGAAATGCAGAAAACATTGCACAACCCTGTTATTAATCTACAGAAGCTCAAGTGCATCAGGCACCCAGACAGCATAATGACTACTAATTGACAGAGCACAGTTATCACAATAAATCTAACCTATATGCAGTACGAGGCTTCAGGGGTCCATCGCAGAACTTTTGCTGATCTGGATCACATTTTCCTCCCAGATTTTCCATTTCTGCTCCAAGCTTAATATCAAAGCTTTTATAGCCACCGTCAGGGCTTTCAGCGCATCTACTGGCAAAATAATTTGTCTGGTAGATGCGTATGGAGTCATTGTGTTTGTAGTCCAGGTAGGAAGGCAACGGGTGCTGCTCATCAGGCTTTGATCCTTCACTGCCTACAGCATGTGCAGAGAAGAAGAGATGGTTTACACATCACAGCCACTTGTGTGATAGAGCATTACATGTTCATGTAATAAGCATATTAAACACTACCCAACCTTACAGCATTCCTTGGAAGGCTGCAGAGGCTACTTGGTGAGTACAAAACTACAGTGGTTCTAGTAACTGACTTCTAGTACCTACCTTGCTGTTATTTGAGGGAAAACATCAGACAGATTTCCTCAATAAAATTCATTTTCCCACATGCCATACAGTGAAAACTGTGTCTTACCTTCCTCTGGTAAAGATCTTTGAGCAGTACAGAAGACAAAAATACATGACTATGAACCACAGTTTTATCAACTCTCAATGACCAGATTAGTTTTGCAACCTCATGAAGTTGGCCCAAAGAAGAAAATGGGTAAAGGTGATTCCTACAGCAAACATGAACTTGCTAAACACAGGAAATCCTATACCTCAATATGAATTTATCCTTGCATTCACAAAGGTTCTAATATGCAGCTGTGCAAAATGATTGCACTGCACAAAACTGTCTCTTTGTGTAATGGATCTCCATTATCTCTAACATTTGCTTCACTGAGAATGATGCTTTGAGAACAGGGCTGGGTATTACTTTAAATTATCAATACTCCACACCTTGTTGATTTGTAGCAGAGTTCCTTGAAATAAACTTTAGTTTTGAACACAGACACAGCAGCTCCCATTAAAGCACCTATTACATAACCACCTGGAGATAGTTTTGTTCTGCTGGAGACTTGTCTGAGTAGAGAGTCAAGCTGGCTGTAACTTTTCTAGATACAATGCTGGAATAGGTATGTACCAGGTAAGTTTAATGCTATGGCATTTTTCCCTGTGCTCTTGCTGGAAATCTCTGTGGTCCAGAATTCTGGCTCCTACCACCTGCTATTTCATAAAGCAAGTAAAAAATCAAAACAAAAAAACAAACTAACAAGTCTAATGTGTGCAGAGGAAAACTGCAATAGGAAATGACAGGAGCCCCCTGAAATGAAATTCATAATAAAATGTCAAGATTCAGGTAGACAAGAGCATGGTACCAAGTCCCTGTTTCAAAGGGCATTATAGTCTGCACAGACATGGCACACAGTGTAGGCAGTAGAAATATCATCTCTGCTTTTTAGCTAGAGGCTGATGGACGGAGAGATTAAGAAACTTGCTCAGGGGTCAAAAAATATGTCCTGGCATGTCAGGAAATAAACCCATTTCTAAAAACAGCATATTAATTGTTGAGACATCCATCTGCTTTGTCACATATAGGTCAACTGCAGAAAAGGAGGTTTGCATGCACGCTACAAGGACAATTTCTGCTCTATTTTACAGTGCTGCACAAGGAGGCATTTTCTCCAATAAGCGAACACACTGGATCATGCTACCTCTGCCATCTCAGTATGGCTTAATGGAGTGCTCTAAAAGCAAGGGAAACAGACTCAGATATGTTACAAACTAACATCTCAACTACCTTTTGAGATCCGTGCATAGTAAGGCAGTTTATGCTGTGTGCACTGCCAATGGCATCAAGCACGAGTCTCCTGCTGTGGAAGCTTCCCAAACACACGTGTGAGAACTTGAATCCCTGAGTACAGAACAGAACTACGGCACTGCCCGAGCTCTGCAGCTTCTACTCACGCTTTAAGCAGAAGACTGAGTGCCTAACTCCCCAGGCAGGTACCGATCCAAAAGCCCTGATGAAACCCAGCTACCAGGCAAGAAGTTTCTTTGCTGTGTGCTGACGTGCTGTCCCTCCCTGTGTACCTCCTACAGGCTATGGAAAAAGTGCTCATCAATCGTGACACTTACCATCAGCCTCTCTGACCACTACGGTGAAGTACTTCACAGCTCCATTGGTATCACTAAACCAGCTGCAGTTAAAAGTGAAGTTAATGGAGGATTTGGTAATCAGCACATCTTTTTTGTTCACTCGGATGTCGGGAGATGGCTGAGGGGGACCTGAGGAATTAAAAAAAAAAAAAAAACTCTAAGAACATTATCTATGTATTTGTTGTGAGACAAAGTCTAGTAAAGAAAATACTTTTCTTAACACGGCTCAGCTCTGTTCTCTTTCTAATCAAGAAAGAGTCTTCACCTCCCACAGGGAAACTGCCAAAGGATGAAACAAGCCAGCAGTGAGTTAACCATAATAACAGTGGCAGCTCCTCAGTAGGAATCCATACAGAGCCCACATGGAAACGCATTGAAGTCTTGCTAAATCTATGAAATCTGAAATTGCAGCTGCTGAAGATGACATTTGTACACAGGTTCAAGCCAGGTATTTGGAGGCCGCTTAGCCTGCTCGCTGCATCTTGTTACTTATTTTACACATCTAGATTTCTGCTTCCTTTATGAGAAGAGCAGCACCGACTCAGTCCAACACAACATTCAATTGCTGAGTACCATGGTGCAGACTGACTGCAGAATTTCCACAGGAAACGCTCTTTGTATGACGAAAAGCTATACCTCAAACGCAGCAGAACTAAACTGGAAAGTGAAGTCTAGAGGGACAAACCTTCAGGGGAACAGTGCAATAAAGGTGGGGATTTTAGGGACCTGCCTTTCTGATTTTTTAAAAAAATCTTAATTCCTGAATCTACATTGCATGCACTGAAAACTTAATCCGGTATGCAAGCAGGGAGCTGTACAGCAAAGTTTCAGATTGGAAAAGAATCAATAATTCACATGTTTATCTGATGCTTAGCTAAATCTCTTAGGTCTGCAAAGCCCGGCTGCAATTCTGGGGGCAGAGCTGGGTTCCCGTGGGGCAGGACTGCCAGTGTTCAACCAGAGACTGCGAAGGGAGCAGTGGTCAGAACAAATAAGATCAACCTTTGAACAGGACTTGGTCTCTCTTTTGTGACACGAGTAGTTACTCCTCACTAAATGTGAATTTGTAGCATCCTTGGTGTGCAGTTAACAGGCAATCCATGGGGCAGAGGAGAAGGTGCACTAGTGGTATTGCCATTCTGCTCTGCACGAGCAGAAGCAGCACAGCAGCAACCCAATGGCAGAAGTGGTTTCAAAGCACGTGCTTTTAAAAGCCATGATTCCCTCCCAACAATATTTCCTATAGGTGACTTAGGAAGCATCTTGAAGGAGTGGACAGAGAGCCCAAGGAGGACCCTGTGCCACAGTCCAAAGTCCTTATTGAGGACTCTGTGCTCTTCCTTGTGCTGAGGATGGCTACTCAATGTGAGGGAAGAACAGCGGGAAAGGGAGCCAAGCAGCAGCAGGGAGGACAAATTAAGGTGTGTGATAAAGATGACATGTTTGGTGCTGAACATCACGAACGAGAGGATAACTTTTTGTCTTCTCACGTTACATTTAGTGAATGAGCCCAATAAGCAGGCTTTGCAACGTGATGAAAGGCAATACAGTTAAAATCCTACACTCTCTCACCAGAGGGACCAAAGGAGAGGTTCTCCCTACTCTGGCCACCCCAGTATAGGTGCCACATATTAACAATTGCAGAATTCAGAACCTCTTCTGCTGTCTGCCCAACATAAGAGATTGTTTGTTGCTGCTCTCACTTCCCGCATTCCACTTACGGTCAATCATCGTGATGGTGCTGTCCTCAACCACCTCACTGGTCATGTCTGCAGAATGCACCTTGATGGACACCAGGTACCGCTTGTGGGGTACGAGGGTCATGATATTCAGTAGAGACTTGTCTTTGTCTATCCTTTTGGAAAATTCCACTTCATGAGTGTCCATTTTTTTGCATTCTACACTGTATCCATCAAAGTCAGAATCAGGAGGAGTCCAAGAACATGCAATGGCAGTAGAGGTCTGCGGCCGACAGTGAAGACTCTGTATCTTGTCTGGTTCTAGAGAGATGTTGAAAAGTTGAAGCTCAGTGGAAAAGAGGAAAGACACCATATATTTTCTGCTCATCCTATGGCTCAGACAGCATCCTTAGATTCTTCAGTAACAATGTCATTCCAGCAGGAAGGCCAGAAGCCAGAATTCCCACCTCTCCTACCAATGTGTGCTGCCTGATTTTAGGCAAGCCATTCTAACTCATTTTAGCCCCTTGAGACTGGAGACAGTCATGTCAAGCTCATCATGTTTCTGAAGCTTCAGTAATTAATTGTAAAAACAAGCTGACAAAACCACTCCATGAAGCGTTACTGAGAATAGCAACACTGGAAAGCAACACATTTCTAGAATTATGTTAAAAAAAAAAGGTAGCTATGCTCTCATTTTAATTAATATGCTGAAAAAGGCTGAAGACCAATTCAGCTTACTAAACACTAGTGTAAAGCTGGAGTTGAAGCCCATGCCTTGCGGCATGAAAGTTCTCAGATGCTCAGTTATTTTTACAAATACAGGTCACTTTTTCACCAGCCTGCTACTGAGGCTGACACAGCTAGAGACTATGATGACCTGCAAGCACTGACTGTCAGAAACACAGAGCAGTGAAAGTCCCTGATTTCATGGTTTCAGATCTAGCACAGCAGGGTCTCATCCATCCCTTGATTGTTCAAAAACATTTGGATGACTTCAACATCCTACTGATCCTAATGTTAAAGAATTTTGCGTCTTCAGGTTTGCTTTATCCCTGCAACTGACTACTTCAAACACGGCAGCCAAACAGCCCCGGCTCTGGATCTGTAGTTTGCATATGTCAATTTTTAATCTTTAAACAGTGAGTCTTGGAAAAAGCAAGGTCAGACTCAGCAGCTGAGTCGCCGGAGTGCTAGGGTGCAGTGGAAAGCTGGACTTACTCGTCCTCACGCTGGCAGCCAGTGACTGACTGTAGGTCTTCCAGGTGTCACCGCTGACAGTTCTGACACTGAACTGGTAGAGCCTGCCCGGGCGCAGGCCGTACATGATGCGGACCTTGGACTTGCTGCTGCTGTAGGGATTGAACACGGTGAGGGCGTCTTTTGGGAGCCACCGCAACTCAAAATCGTCGTAGTCTGTCCACTCCGGCGGGCCCAGCCAGGTGATTGATAAGGACGTGTTTGCCACATCGGTAAATGATACAGTGTTAGGAGGACTGGGTGCTGCACACACACAAAAAAAAGAGCAGAAAGATGAACTTTCAACACATGACAAATGAGATGAAATGGCCATTATCATTTTCCTGCAGTGCAAAGTGACTTACATTATCCACGTATATAATGAGTTGCACAGTCATTAGTTATACCTGAGCCTTTATAAGCAGAACAGTGCTGAACGAAATTAGACCCCATTGGTTTAAAACCTTCGGTGGGATATTCTTTATCTTCTGTGCCTTTAGTGACTCTTAAAATACACCATCCCTCAGAATAACCCTGTTGCACAGCTGTGAGCTGAATTCTGCTGGATGGGACTAAACTAAAAGCCCAACATTTTTGTGTCCTCTACCTGTTCTCCCTTCGGCATTTGCTGTATTGGTCAGGTCACCGCTGTGAGTCACCACAACCAGGGTGTACTTTCTGCCAGGAACGAGGCCCTGGAAATGCCATTCTTTCAGCTCTTTGCTGTGCCATGTTTCCTTCTGTGTCCCATTTGGGTTATAAAGATTCAGCTCGTAGAAATCGACATCTCCTGCTGCTGGATCCCAGGTGAACCACAAACTGTCTGTCATGTTTCTGTTGGAGGCCTTCAGACCAACAACTGGGGCTGGTACTGAAAAAAGAGAAGATAAGATATTAGTTTATGCAGAACATTCCTGGGGTGAGGAGGAGCTATGGGCAAACCTTATGTTTGTCATGTAATGCTAGCCACATAATAATGTAGACAGGCATCACAACTGGACAAAAGGCCATCAGAAAGTACATTTCAATAGTTTTGTTTCCTAATTTGAGCTGCTATTGTCTACCAAAAGAAGCTGAAATGTGGATAATGGACCATTTTTTAAGGGTTATATTAATATTAATTATTAAGCAATAAATATTAAACAATATTAAGCAGCTTTTTCCCACTGAGTGCCTGGAAACATCCAGGGCTGAGGTAGCTGAACAAAGTGCACCACCATCCAGAGACAGTGGTATGTGGTGGGTTATTACACAGTGGCCTCGGAGGATAAAGAAAGGTTGCACAGAGTGTCTGAGGTGCTCAGGGAGCTCCTCTCCCCACGCAGGGCTGAACAAACACGGAGCTTCAGCCACAGCTCACCCCAGGAGACAAGTTTTATTTCACTACCCCATTAATCTGATTTGCTTCGCCTTTTTGTCTCATGTGCTTATAGATCAACATTGCTTTCAGGATGGGAAACAGCCATTTTTCTCATAGGCTTATGTGGTTGAGACTGGGATGCCCTTCTGATCAGAGTACGTGAGAACTTTGGTAAACACAGATAATTAATTAACAAACTTCTCTGCTTCATTCTTCCCCTTGAACCACATCATTTAGGATTTACCTTCTTCATTTACTGCTTTTTATGTGCAAGAGGCAATTTGGATACTTCTAACAAGACACTCTAGCCTAGCATGAGCATCACACTCCAGCGAGCTCACCACTGCCCCTCATGAACACCACACTGGAGGCAAATGATGTTCTCAGAGGTTCTTGCCTGTTCTTCCAAAGATGGAGGACTCGTTTGTGAGCTCCCCGCTGTGGGTGACAATCACCATCCTGTACATCCTTCCCTGCCGCAGGTTCTGGAACGAGCACTGCTGCAGGTGCTGCTCGCCGGAGATCCTGTCGTGCAGGGATTTGTCTGGGTTGTACAGGAAGATGTCATAGGAATCGAGCTCGCCCTGCGACGTGGTCCAGCTGAAGGAGAGCTGGCCAGTGGTGCTCTCTGTGACCCTCAGATTCGTGACAGCTGCTGGCACTGGAAAGGAGGATAAATACAAGAGTGTCTAGCCACTAAGCTGAATCTTTACTAAAGCAACAGCTCATTATGGGAATACTTTTCTATTAAGCAATAAGCAGCTAAGCAATGGCGACCTTGAGAAGCAAGGGGAAAGCATTTATGAGGTGCCACTGAGTCTCTCCAACATGCCTGCATTTCCCAATAGGCCCAGGTCTCCACTCTGTGCTCACACAGTGCTCTCCATTAACTTCTGCGAGAAGCTTGGCTTGAGTAAAGACTGCAAGACTTGGATTAGAATTTAGACATGTATATTCATGTCAAATCTTGGGCTAAGAGCCTTTAGACTGTGTGAATTAAAAGCTTAAGAACAATAAAGAATTCTGGTGGTTCCGTAATGGACAGACTGAGGGAAGCACTAAGCACTTCGGTTTAGTATCTTTAGTATGAGCTATGACCACATTATGGTGCTAAGTATTTTCAGTTTCATATATCAAGCACATGTCAGGAAAAAGGATGCATAAATACCTCAAGTCTGCTCTTACTGGAAGCTTTCCAGGACCAAGATTTATAGATGATTCATATATTTAATGATATCTGACTGAGGAAAATATAAATACACTGAGATGTTCTAATTACCTGTTCGGCCAACAGTTTCTGCTCGTTTACTGAAGAGCCCGCCACTGACTGTCAAAACTTGTATTTTATACTTCTTGCCAGGTAACAAATCTTCAAATTTGTGTTGTTTGGCAGTAGCTGGCTCTGATTTGTTACTCAGGAGGATTCCTTGCTCATTCAAGAGCAGAATGTCATATCTTTCAGCTACACCAGGAGCTTTCTGCCACGTTACTAGCAAGGAATGACTGCTATAACCATGATCAGCAAATAATTCCTGGACAGAGGCAGGAACTGGAAGCAATAATTAAAAACAGGACATTACCACATGAAATATGGACCACTTGATACACAACTGTGAGTACAACAATTAACAGAGAATATCTTTATAAATCTGCATGTTCACCTGTGGGACTAAGGATCTCTGTGCACGCGTCTGTAGGTGCACATAATTCCTAGACATAAAATACAGTCAGATGAAGTCACAGAATATCAAGGACATCAGAACTGGAAATAGAGATGCAAGAGATGCATTTAAATGATCATGAAAAGAGTGAAATAGAAAGTGGGATGAATTGACAAACATGAAAAACAGGCATATGAAAAGATCTGAGAAAAAAAAAAGTCACGCATGGGTTCAAAATACGAGTAGTACGTAACAGACAGTGTTAGCTAGAAAGTCAAGCCCACAGCAAACACATGCCAAGCACAAAAGAGGGGGGAAGGACCACGAGCAAACTGTGCCACTGTGTGTGTCAATACGCAGTACACTGGGGCTATGTGTTGTCTAACAAGCTTTGGATTTCCCCATACCCGACAGCATGTTGCATAAACAGGCCGTGTGCAACTAATAAGACTCCGCTCCTGGGAAGTCCTAATGCAATTTGCTGCTTGGCTCTGAAGAAACCTACTTGTCCTCCCCAAAGCGGCCACGCTGTTGTGCAAGGTGCCGCTGTTGGACTGCACCACCACGCGGTACTGCTCCCCGGGCTCCAGCTTGTGAAACGTCAGCTCCGAGACGTGCTTGGAGACGCTCTGGGAATCGAGCTGGTGGCTCTGCTGAAATACAGTCACTGTGTAGGAGTCGACGTCTCCGCCGCCAGGAGCCCAGCTCACTCGCAGGCTGTTCGTCAGGCCGCCGTGCGAGACGTGGACGTTTCTCACCGCGCTCGGGACTGGAAGGAAAAGCAACAAAAGGCACCTGCTCACTAATTTCCTGATTGATTCAAACTTTTAAATTTCTATCTTTTTTTTTTAATGGCTAAAGCAAACGATTCAAAGGTTGAGCATTTGCAAGTATAAGCAATTTCACTCGTGTGGGTAAACACACTAAGGCTGCAGGCATTTGTGTGGGATTGTGCCATTTTAAAAGAGCAAATCCGTATCTTCACAGGAACAGCAAAAAAAAAGATAAAGAAAAAAAGTTTGCATGTTCCTTTGTTTGGATAATCTTCCTCTTCTTCAAAAGAGGCTCTAGAAACTTCTCAGAAAATCTGAGATTTTTTTCTGTACATTTAGTTAGCCAATGTACTCTTATAATCCAGACCTTTAATTTCAAGGAGGCAGACGGAAGCACGAACTGACTTAAATAATTTAGTCAGAGATATTAAATAAACAATTGCCATGCATGGCAATAACAGAAAGTCAGCAGTGACATATCAGTACAGTCTCTATGCAACAAATCGAGTTATCTGCCAAAAATCAAATATTGGTGACCGTGACATTTGTTTATTAAGGCAAGATCAAACTGAAGTATTAGTATAGTTTTCAATGAGAGCTGCTGATTTTGTGCCAGGCTTACAAGAACTCAAATAGGAGCACAACTCAGCCTTGATTTTCTGCTCCTCATTCTTTCCTCTAGAAAAGCTTCAGTGCGTGTTTTCAATACCATGCTGTGTGTTACCTGTTAGGCCTTCTATGAAAGTAGCGCGTTGTGCATCTCCACTGATAGTCAAGACAAGGATTTTGTACAGACGCCCAGGAGTCAGAGCTGTGAACCAATACTCCTCCACGGTGTTTCCAAGGAAAATGGGTGGGAAGATCTTCATATCATTGAAGAGGAGCTGAATCTCGTATTTATCAACATCACCTTCAGCCTTTAACCAGGTTACCTGCAGATCCTCTGTGCTTCTGTTACTTAGAGTCAGATCCTTAACAGATTCTGGCACTGAGAAAGTAAGACAAGACAAGAAACTTCTCAGTACTTATAACTATTACACAGATCATAGCAAAATAGCAACAGCTTTGAGATAACAGCCCCTGAGCTAAAACTTTGCATTCGGTTCCTCAGGAAACACAACAGATGCACTTAACTGTAAAGGGGTCTTTCTTGCTGTACCCTGCTTAGCAGGAAGGCCCTAACCCAGAACAAGGAGTTCACAAAGTATCAGCACAAAAATAATAAACAAATAACAAGGCAGCCTGTAGGGAGTAAGCCAAGCCAACAGAGCCAGGGTAGGGTCTATGTGTGCAGCGAACGCGGCGCGGAGAGGCCCGAGCTGGCAGGCGCCGGGCGAGGGGCGCGCAGCCCCGCTCCGCGCGGTGCCCGGCTCCTGCAGCTGCAGCTCAGCTGCCCGTGCCCAGCACTGCGGCCGCGCTAGCGACCTCGCTTTCTCGGCACGGCTCGCGAGCTTGGACGAAGCGCTGGCACAGGACAGGCAGGTGGCACCCACATCCCTGCTGGCTGCCACCCAGCCGCCTCGCTGCCCCTGCCTGGGCGCTCCAGCATCGCCCGTTCCCCCAGCAAAGCGAGGTCACTGCGTAAAGGGAGCTATTGGTCTGTCCCTCCCTACGTGCTTCCATGACCAGAAAAAAAAATCACATTCTTGCACATTTGGCCTAGTTCAAACAGAAGTAACAGGCTGATATGGAAATCTGTACAACTCTGCTTTTCAGCTTTCCAAGTCTTAACACATAGCGTTCCAAGTTCATAACACAGGCTCTCTTTTCACTTTCTACTTGTCGTTCACTTGAATATTAGTCATGAATTATTATGACAGCCATTTGAGCAGCCACACACCTCAGCATCAGAGTTAAAATAATACAGGATTTTTGAGCCCAGATATAGTAAACAAAAAATAAACAAACAAACAAACAAAAGGCTCTCTATCTGTTTCTGTGGTATTTACTCACTTGTTCTGCCGTAGACCCTTGCACTAGTTTCGTATTTCCCACTTCGTGTGCTAACAGTGACACTGTACTGCCTCCCTGGCACCAGATTAGTGAACACACATTCATTTTCATCCTTAGGGACACTCTCTGTTTGGATGAAGTCATTGTTGTTCTTGATGATCACTTCATAATTATCAAAATCACCAGAGGCATGTAACCAGGACACCTTTAAGTAGTCACTTCTTGCAGAATTGCTGACAGTAAGTCCCTGAACACTAGAAGGGACTGAAAGGAAAAAAAAAACACACAATTAGAGGTTCCGAAAGCAGTAATTTCCCCAAGTAACAGCAATTGCTGTAGTGGATTGTATTTATGGTCATTTACAGATATTTCTGAGGAAGCTGCAAAAAGCTCACAACGTAGATTTAAACAATAACCTACCCTCTAAAACAGCAACTTTCCGAGTTTCCATTAGAGGCTGGCTCATATGCTGCAACATGGCAGCAGTTTCCCTTTCCAGTTTCATGTCTTTTGGAACAACTCTGTCAGTTCTGGTTAGGGCAGTAAGTTTTACAGGCTCATGGCAGCCCTGAATTTGCTGTTGCTTCTTATTTAAATGACTGATCCCTAGATTTTCTCTTCCATGAGAAGGAGTCTAGAATTGCATGTTCTTGATATTATTTATTGTTTAAAAGTCTATTATCGTGTTTCTGTTAGTCTGCTGATTTCTCAGTTGTAAAATCTCAATCTTTTCAAACCTGGAGGAGGCTTCTAAAAACTTTCCATCATTACTGCCACTCTTCTCTGAAATTTCTCTATTCCTGCTATAGCCTCCTTGAACTTGGAAAGACACAGTGTTATACATTTATATAACCACTTACTAGTATTTTCAGTAGCCATTACCTATTCCATTTTTTCAGTGTCTAAGTAGCTTTTTGGGGGGAGATGTTCTGCAGGATACGTGTGAGTGGACAGAGTGGCTAAGAGCAAAAAATGCTTTTGAGTCAATTTGACATTTGCTTTCTACTCACTCAGAACTGACACTCTTCTGTTAGTTTTTTTTCCTTCACACACACACGGAAACTGTTAACACTCTTGTTAGTCTCAAAAGCTTTGCTGATGTGCTGATTTTTGGGGAGCATGGCAATAGATTTATTGTCATTAGCCCCAATACTTTTCCTCCTGACACAGTGACATCTTGGCTTTGTGAGGCCCTGCTCCTGACGTTTTGCCATCAGCTTCAATGGAGAAGGTTCGGGATACCTGGCCTTTATTCATGCTAAAGTCATTTGGTATGACACAGAGCAGTAGCAGGGGCATAAGAATAAGTCTGCAGGGCTGCAATTTTATGAGTTGATCCTTCAACTTCCAGTTCCCCCATCCCAGTTTTGACCAGATATTCACAGCTTCTTGGTAACACCTGGCCAAAGGGGTTACGGTTACCCAATTCACTCAGCAGCTCTCTTTACCTGTTCGTTCCTGGCCGAAGGAATAATTCTCATACTTCCCACTCTTGGTGGTGATCATCACATTGTACAGTGTCCCTGGAGTGAGGCTGCTGAAGGAGCATTCGCTGAAGGCTTTGGAAATGGTGAGAGTCTGAACAACCTGGTCACCGTGAGAGAGTGTCACCAAGTAACTGTCCACGTCCCCAGCGGCCGGCAGCCAAGAGACACTGAGGTAGTCACTGCGACCTGAGTTATTCACCGTCACTCCAGTCACGCTGGAAGGAACTGTGTAGCAAAGAAGGAAAAGCGGAAGAGCTTTAGCTAGCTAATTCCTAGAGTTGCGAGTATGCCCGGAATGCAATCCTGCAAAGTAAACATGCCTTTGCTCTGAGAACCAGCAAGCTCGGGCTGGCTCCCACGGAGTAGCAGGCATCTGCTTTTCCCGAATGCTGTGAAGGACATTGTTGTCTTTGGTGGCACAATCCCAGCACTTCTAAAATCCCAGAAGATGAGCTGTCCTCTCGAATTGCCACGCAGCACTAACAGTAATTAACACGGGTGCTTGCCCGGGGCTGAGGCCCTCGCTGGGAAGTGTTTCATTTGCAGTGAATCCTCTGACGCCTAGTGGCCAAAACTCGAATGAGGTTTGTGTTGCTGGGGAGCAGGCTGGCTCCACGTTGCTGACAGCCTCAGCTACAACACTACTGGGGAATTACACTCCCGGACCCTACTTAAAATCAACTGCCCCATTTTCACCGGGCTCAGACACACTGAACTGACTCACCTCAGGGGAGGAGCTGGCCATCAACCGTCAGAGTCAGTAATATTTCAAGATTTTACAGAATACTCCTATGCATTTTAAGCCTTTTAATGTTCCCCAATTGCAAACTGCAGAATGCCTGGCTTTTGCCAAACTCCATAAAAGGTAAGTTTTCCCCATATCACAGTATCTAGAGGACTGGTATTATATTTCATGGGTCATGAAACTTTTAGAATTTGATGCAACAGTAAATACTATGCTATCCAGGATATGGGGGCTTCATAAAGTGTAATTTTTCAGTATGAGCACTATTTAACACTCAACAGGACCAAAAGAATGAAGTGTATGGCTGAAACGATTGCATTTCTGAATTTTCTGCCCAGAGGCTTAACTGTGAGTCCATTTTCTATAATAAATTCCGCTTTTACAAGTCTACAAAAGACAAGGTGGAGCATTTCTTGCTTACCTGTCCTCCCTTCTGCAATTGTCTGCCTAGAAGATATGCCCCCACTGACAGTGGTAACAACAACTGAGTAGAGCCCTCCAGGTTTCAGGGAGTGGAAATGGTATCTGGTGGTTTCACTGGGAACTGTCTCATTTTTAATGACAACATTCTCATGAATCAGTAGTACTTGATAGGAGTCTACATCTCCCAGGGCTCTCGTCCAGTTGGTAAACAAGCTGTTGGTCGATCCCTGACTTGCCACCATCAGACCAGTCACTTGGGCTGGCACTGTAATGCAAAATGTCATACTGTTACTGAGAAGCAACAAAATAAAACAAAACAACCCCCCCCAGATAACTCAAGTTTAGTCACCCTGAGGAAGTGCATCAAAAGAACATTCCAATTTACAGCCAGACTCAACAAGACTAAAAATAATCTAGCTGTGGCCTGCTTCCTGTCTGATGGGATGTGGTCTATGGGAAACTATCTATGGCACAGCAAGGTCTTTTGGGCTTTCGAAAAGCTTTTCATGGTCAGATGAAAATGATTCAAGAACGGAGAACTAGAAAAGACTGAATTTTATAAATGCCATTAAGCAAAAGCAAACAACTTAAGAAATCGCTTGTTTTTATGATGACTATTTTGTACACAGACCGTCTCTTTCATTCTCCTTTTTCCCTCGTATTTCCTAACTCTTGTTCCTCTTAAATTGCAAATCAATTCCATGAATACCTCATAGTCATCTATACCTCCGAGGAGCTTTGGGCTTTTCATTTTTGTGGTAACTGAGATGGATATCTTTGTTTTTATCTTTTATTTTTACATTACAAGATTAGAAGATTAGTTACTATCTAGAAGATTGTAACTTTCCTACCATCAAAAGATAAAACAATTGTTAAATAAGTATAGCATTTCTCTAAGTACAAGATGCTGAAGTTTGTAGATCAAAAAGAAGAAAAAGGAAAAGAATATTTAGCACAAATTTTAGCCAACGTTCTTTTGTCCTTTTAACTTGACAATTTAGTCAAAGTAAGGGAATACAGCTACTTCTTCCTTTAACTTTAGAAAATGTGATTACAAAGTCATCTGTTTTGTATCAATCTTTTTGCACACATAATACTGAATTTGAGATCACTAACACAAGCTGCAAAATGAGGCACATAGATGAAAAACAATTCACATAGAACTTGATTTTTTTATAATTTTTTTCACAACAGAATCTCAGCTGTCACTGGAAGCTGACAAATTTGGGATGCATGGAAGACCTATTTCTGTCACATTTGCAACATATATTTTACAAGCAGGGTAGGTTTTCCTATAGAGGAGACTGGAAAGCCTGGGGTGCTTATTACAACCTATGCTCCAAATGTATCATGTTCATTCCTCAACACTTCAAACACAATGCTGACATGTTATCCCTACCTGATTTGTTCTTAGGCATTGATTTGTGATAGTGAAGTGGGACATGGCAACCTTTATGAGGCCTCCCTGGGCCTGCCAGGGTGTAAGGCAGAAGGAAATGAAATCCCAACTATCTAATCACATAGAAGAGAAGGTTAAGTCAAACTTTTCAGGCCTTGGAAGGAGTTAAAACACTTTAGTAAGGGACATTATCAAGTCATAGGCATGATTAGATCCATGCAGCTGGTTTCTTCCTGTGCTGTGCCAGCCCAGAGCTACATTTTAGGTCTGTGTGCACAAAGGAACGCAGGAGCAGAGCAAAGGAACGTACATGGCTTAAAATTTGCACGCGTGCACAACATTAGTACCCTTCAGGGGTGGGAATGGGACTTGCTCTGTGTCACAGGCTTCATCCTGAGTAACAGGCACAGATTTTGCAATCAGAAGAGCAGAAAGATTCAAAATACGTTTTCAAGGTCACATATGTTTTCTGTCTCTCAACCTTGGAATGTTCCCCCTAAAGCAACATTTTCCTGTTTCTTTTTTTTTTCCACATGATGCATGCTTTGAATCAAGGAAGTGACCTTCCCTAAGATAGGCAGTGAAAATTGTTCTTCTTATATGGAATCTTGTGCTAATGTAAATTGATTAGATGTGACATCATATTGCAGAGAACAGTTTTGCCAGGAATTATATATCCATTTCCCCAAACCTATAAATAAACACTGCAAGACATTAGATAGGGGTATAAATGACACATGTAGAAACAGCTTCTTTTGCTGAGGAAATAAATGAAAATTCAAGGCTTTTGACACTTGGGCACTGAGTTCACTATGAAGCAAATAAAGCTGTTGTTAGCTGAAAGAAGCAAAGATTAAAATAGATTGACAGTATGGCACCTGTTCTTCCTTCCACTGAAGTCCAATTGCTTAAAATCCCACTAATGGTAGTAACTGTAGCTGTGTATTTTCTTCCAGGTACCAAGTCTGTGAAAGTGAACTCCTTAGCTTCTTTTGCAAGCCCCTTTTTTATGACAGTGAGGTCTCTGTCTCCCAGCGAAACGACGTAGCTGTCCCACTCTGCAACAGGGGTCATCCACATGACACTCAGCGAGGACTCATTGGCATGCTTGACACGGAGCTGGAGAACAGGCTCTGGAGCTGCAGAAGCGAACAAATATCACAGTAAGAATTGAAAATTGTATGTATGTTCACACACACATGTTGTAACTCAAGCTGCTGTAAGAAATTAAGCTGTAAGAGTGACAGCAACAGAATATTGCTGGTATCACAAGGAGATTCTTCACCTATGTCAAGGAGGCAAATCTAACAAATACAGCATTTGTGCTTCTTCCAACAAAAGTCTGTAGACTTCAACAATGCTTTCTGTCTGTAGTATTGCTATGCATGTGCACACATGCACACATGCAGAGAAGAAGATAAAAAACCTTTGCCACTGACGTCAGTTTCTTTTGTCTCTTACTCTGAATTGGTTATCACCAAAAAGCAACACATTTTCCACGACTGTTGGCTTACACAGGAGAAAATTAAATCAGAACAAGCCCTAATATCTATGTTCCACAACGTGTACATTATGTACCCGACTGTGGGGTCAAACACAGTTGTGAGACAATCACTGGTTCAAATTATTTATTCGACTGCGTCCTAATCTCTTGGCTGTGTCAGCAAAAAGTAACACCATAAAATTAAACAATGTTATTCTTGATTTATATCAGAGTAACTGAGATCAGGACCTTGCTTGCTCTGATAATGTCAGCTAAAAATGTTCGAGGATGTTTCAGTTCTGTAGCTTCCACTGGCCTTGCCATTGAGCAAAATGAACAAAATGAAAACCCTCAGGGCGTAAAAGGTAAGGGCATAGCAGGAAAGGAAGGCAACGGGAAGGATGAGAGTAATGCAGGCTCCCTTATCTTATCTCCCATTCTCCTGCGAGATAAGGCTCAGGCTTTGCCTGCTAATCTCCTCCAAGTCTTCTTGTTCTCTGAATTGCACTTATTTTGCATTCATAGAGCAGAACCATTAACAACCATATTGCAATTATTTTTTTAGTTCGAAGCAATCAGATGTGGATTCAATTAACATACTCCCAAAGAATTCCAGTAACATCACTGTAGTGCATATGGATTTTCTTTGGAAAAGTTGACCCGAACAAATTCATCACATTTTCTTTACAGAGCACAGGAGCTAGAATTGGGATTTTATGCAGGAACCACACCAAGACTAATAGACCTTAGCCAATTTTGGCTAACACTGGTGATACCTCTTGCACATATCCAAGTACTGTTTCTTTCTGATCACCCACAGAGCCTTGTTGAGGAGCCCGTAGTTTGGTGTTTCCCGGGCCCACGCGCTGACCTGTTCTCCCCGTGCAGCGAGCCGAGCTCTGCAGATGGCCGCTCTCCACGACAAGCTCCACGTCGTACTGCCGGCCCGGGACGAGGCCCACGTCGCGGATGAGGAACTCCCGCGCGTCCTTCTCCAGGGTGGTGTTGAGCAGGGCCGTGGAGAGGTTCCAGAGGAGCAGGCGGTACCGCTGCCAGTCGCCCGTGGGGGGCAGCCAGCTGAGGAGCAGGGAGCGCGGCCAGCCGCCGCCGCCGGCGCGGAGCTCCCGGACACTCTGTCCCATGCGCATCTTGAGAACGAGTTTGGCAGTGTTTCGCTTAGCTTCCCAGCTGTTTCCTGGAGCCCATTAAGGTCACTTGGAATTTGTCAATCAGTTTGTCAAAACTAAGCTTAAAGCTTCAATCGCTGTGGACCAAACTGGCACCAACAACAGGAATGTGAAGCCTGGTGGCTCCTTCCACCACAGGCTTGTGTGTTCTTGTCCCTCCTGCCCGTGAGGCGCCAAGGTTCAAACCTCAGCTCATTAAAGCCTGGAGGACACTCTGCTTGACAGACTGTAGGACACACTGGGATAGGCATCTGCATGTCCTGCCCACTAATGCTTTTCTGGTTTTCATGGAATACTTAAATAGGAACCCCACGGAGGATGTGTGGAAGACTGATGCATTAGGTGCTAGAGCACTGCCAGCTCAGCATGAGAGCCCCAACACCAGCGTTAAATGTAAACTACAAGGCTAGAGTCATGCTGTCATGTCCTGTCATGTTTTTTCTGGCTCAGTTAATATTTAATTGCTCAGTACATAGCAATGATTGAGAGGTTTCCAACAGCACCACCAAGTACTTACCAGCTTCAGTTCCCGCAGGCCCAGCTGAATATCAAGGCTACATCTCCCACATACCAGCTAATGTGAGAGATGCCTTTCAATTGCTGATCAAGTTGATAAAAGCTACCAGTATTTTGTTAGGAAGCACTGATGTACTTGAACCATATCAGAAAAAAAGTTCATCCTTTTCAAACTGGCTGGACATCATTATGCCCTCATGACCCAAATTTTCAGTTCCTGAGTTGTCCAGCACTTGCCACCATGTTTCTCTGAATGTTAAAATGTCCCAGTGCAGACCGATGTGGATTACGTTCTCAGGCACCCAGCTCCCTCCATTACAGACTGATCCTAAGTGACAAAGCCCTTCAGTATCTAGACCTGGCAACCTGGGTTTACAAACAGAACTTGTCACAGAGTATCTGCTGAGGTGACCCTAGTATTAAAGTTCTTGCTAACTACAGAAAAGGAAAATCAGGGGAAGGAGTTGTTCAGCTTCTTTGGTAATGGCACTTCTAGATCCCCTGCCCTGAATAGGTCACAAATGCAGATATACATGGTTTGAGTGAGGGCTTGAAGCTCTCCCTTCAGATGGAAACAGTAATCTTAATGGTGTTTGAGGCAGGCTAGACTACAATAAACAATGGCACACCTATAACTGGTCTGGCCTTGTAACAGATTAGAAGACCTTACAGGTATCTTCCAACCTTCTCATTCAACACTGAAAATGGGGCAGCAGCTAGATACGTCAAGGACGTTTCTGCTTTTCATATGGCATGTTTAGTTCTAAATGATAAATACCCTGTAAAACAAATACTATGCTTTCTCTCTCTGTCCCACTCACATGTGTTTTATATTTTTTGGCACTGAGACTTACTATCATTTTCTGTATGTAATCTTCAGCCATTTTTTTTTCCCAAATTCTCACACAAATGTTTCCCATCTAAATTCTACCTGGATTGAGCTGGTGTGGAGAAAATAAGAGGTCTTTGTGGCCAGTAATGCTGCAGGAAAATTGTGTGAAGATTTTTCATGTTTAGGATTCATATTTGAGATATCTGAGAGAAAATTATACTTCTAAAAGATGAGAAATAAAGCATAATGCAGCACTACCCAGACTGCTACATGCCTTCCTTAATCCATGCTATTTGCAGTAAAGAAAGCTGAGACCTAATCTTTTCCTATTTGTAGATTTGTGCTTGGTGCAAAGGATAATATTATACCAAAATTACTTAAAAATCCACTAACGATTTGTCTGCATGCAGGCTCTCTCCTACTGTAACTCATGTTATATATCATGCGGTATTGAATTCAAGATAATAAACTTAGCTAGAAGTGGAATACTGTGGAACAGTTTTGTCACAGACTCACCCAAATGCCTCCTTGTTTCCAGCTCTCTGGCTGTGCTGTGGCTGCTACTGACTGCCAAGATACTCTTGCCAGAGAGGCAGGAAGGGGTATTCCCAGAACAACACTGTGCTCTTTATCTTATTTTGCCTGGAACCCACATCATTTTGTCTCCTGCAGTGATTTTTCTGCAAGGCCAGTGCAGGCAAAAATAGCACGGGTTACAGTGTTCTTAGTGAAGCTGAGGACTTACGTGTTCTGCCAGTTGCCACTGTATCAGTGAACAGTTCACCACTGACTGTGCGGGCAGTAACCTGATAAAGACGTCCCGGAGTTAACTTGTCAAAGTGAGTCTCTGTGACGGGTGGCTGTAAAGTTTTGACTTCTTTAACTGATCCAAGATGAGACAGAGTGATATTATAGAAACTGAGGCTTCCTGGAGGTCTTCTCCACTTCACTTTTAAAGTATCCAAGCTGTCGTCGTTAGTCACTGTCAAATCTAAGACTTCAGCTGGGGCTAAAAAGATGATAAGAAAGAGAATGAAATACTACAACCATAGAACGTATGAGACCTACTGCTTTCAAACTATGATAGTAAGTTTTGCTTTCAAATCGTTATATGAGATCAGATATGTCTGACTGAATATGAACAATTAAAAAGGACTACAGCAACAGCCAGTCATAGTGTAACTGGACACAGTCCTGCTTCAGATAACCTACTCCAGAAGTCGAATCTCTTATGATGCTCACTATCACTTCACAGAATGGTAAATCTGTTAGTCCTGCCCATATTCAGTGCTCATTTTGACTGCCAAAACAAAACACATCCATGCTCCTAAGTACGGAGATGTCTGCGTACACGTCTGCAGCGTAAACACTGGAGCAGTATCGGACCTGCACCACATTATGTGGGACTGGATTCAAATCCGCCACCTCTACTTTTCCACCACAGGAAAATCATAACCACCTCTAACATCTTTAATGTCAAGCTAGGAGCACTCTAGGTATCGAAATAGAAGAGGAAAGTGAATTGTAGACGGAACATTTCTATATTCTGAGCAAGCTTGTGAGATTTACAATTTTTGCATTGCACAACAGGAAGAAATCAAGATTCTGGAGAAATAAAACAACAGATAATCCCCAGAATAGCCAATGCTAGGTGACAACAACACTCATCCATATGCCCTAAAAATTAAGTATTGTTAAATATAACCTTAAATTATATACCCACAGTAAGCTTTCTGTAAGAGAAACTGGAACTGCAATTTTCTATAAATTAGGAAAAGCAGGGGCATGACCATTTTCTTGTTTACATGAGTGCTTTAACCACTGGTCTCTAGCAAAATGTCATTTTATATTTCACCCTATAATCACAGAATTCATTTCTGCAAACACCTTCCTGGAAAACAGAAACTGTCTCAGTTCACTGCAGCAGTCAAACGGACATGTCTTTCACAGACAGATGGCAACACCTAGACACTTGGTCAGACTGTTAACTCCTAACTTCAGATGCTGAATGCAGCTGCCTAAATCAGCTGTGGAGCCAAGTTAGCTGCTAAATTTGCTTGGAGTGGCTGTGACTCCCTCTACAGCCTTTGGAGAGAAGCAGTTTCAGAAGAGAAATCAGCCCAGAAGCTTGCGAACATGCACTGCAACATGATCACGTCTCATAAGAGTAGCAATTTCCAAACCATACCTGTCCTGACTGTCTGGAAAGTGCTGCTTTCCAGTCCTGCAGCCTGGCTTGTGACAGACAGGTTATACAGGTGCCCAGCTGTAAGTCCAGAAAATGTGTAAGAAGTTGAAGGATCTTCTTGGCTAATCTCATGAACAGGGACATGATTATCGAGTAACACCAGTCTGTATCGATCCACGTGCCCAGAGCCAGGAGACCACGAAACGTGGATCGTGTCCGTCTTGACGCTCGCTTGAATATTTTCCACGGGGGATGGTACTGTTGGAATGAAAAAGAGATGCTTAAGGCCCAAGAGCTAATCACACAGTTTTGGCAAGTTCGAACAGACTAGCTTCTGAAATGTGCCGAGTTTCTTCAGGGTTAGTGAAAAGCTAGCCCCAAATTTATGGTCAAATATGTCATGACAACATTCTTCCATGGTTAGGAAATGACTCCTGATGCTAGCCAGAATTTCATGTTTTGTTTATTTTTATTTATGACCATAAGATACTTAAATATGTGTATCTTGCCAAGTAGAATAATTATATATATGATTGCATTTCAAAATGGAGAAGTGCAAAATACTGTAGGGGGTTTATTAAAAGAAGTCCTACCAGTAAATCCACTTATTTGAAGGTCAGGGGTACTCTTATTTCCAGCAACTGCATTGAGGATGATATTATATTTATTTCCAGGGATGAGACTAGAAAAAGTGTTTTCCATTCTTGACATTCTTCCAGGTATGGAAACTTCTTGTATTTTTTTACCATTGTGATCAGTTAATAGTAGCTTATAGAAGTCCACATTTCCTGGTGAAGGATCCCACCAAACCTGTAAGCTTGTGAGTGTAGTTTTTTCCGTATTAATTTCAAACTGAGGTGGTGGTAAGGGATCTGTAGTTAGAAAAAAAAATGAACATAAAACAAGAAAAGGTATTTCTTGGGTTAGGATGGTCAGAAGTTTACATAAAAACTTCAAAAGCTCCCCCCGCCACCATCACCTTGCTGCAAATGTTCTTCAAAATATCTTTTTCTTTCTATTCCTAAACATTGCACCTCCAGAACTGACCTACACAAGAGTCCTGCAGAATACAGGACTGTGTCTATATGTACACACACACTCATACACACACACACACACGTATAGAAATGCATGTACAGCAGTGGATGGAAAAAAATCAGCTTGAAAATCTGCTGACTGCAAAAGTATAGCAACTGTATTAGGAAACAGAAACACAAAACCCCTTAGAATTATGCAATGCCCTTATTTATTCCAGTTTTATAGATACAGTGGTATCTATAAAGCACCTTCTATTTCCTGGTGCTTATATGAACACTTTTAATGACATTAATGACACTTTTTAACTGTATAGGCAGTACTAAGATGATAAAGAAATTCATACCTACTTCAGGCTCTCCCAGCTGTTGAGCTGACCATGAGTGCTGACACATTTAGACTGATGCTAAATGAAAAGTTTTAAGAGTAGCAGTCTTTTAGGTTTTGGTTTTACCTTCAAACACTTTGAACAGCTTCTGATAGAATATGCTTCTGCTCTGCTATACTATTGTCTGCATAAATTTATATATATTTATATACTGGATAAGTTTTTAAGAAATATTTTTAATTAGGATTTTGAGAAACTCTCAATAAACAATACAGGAATACTATGTAGCTATCAAGTAAAATCACCTGTAAAATAGCAAGTGTTCTATAAGGATGGAAACTACTCTCCAAAACAAAAGATTCTGGTTGTTTGCATTCCCCAGGACTATTTCTCTCCCACAAAAGTTCATGCAAACCAAAAGAAATATACTACACGCTGATGTAGTAAGGCATTGATAAAACTCTTTTCTTTTTTTCCTATTCTGTTGCCTTGTTCTCTAAACAAGAGAGGAGAAAGATCACATAATTAAAAAAAAATCCACTGTAAAGGGCAAAAGGTAAAGGCAAAGTGGAACCTAATCCCCCTCACAGGAACACAGCAGTATCAGCAGCATGGGGCTAGTAGCCTTGACGCTGCCTTCTTCAAAGCTGGGGCTGTAGGCAGAGCTTAACTGCCTCAGCTCTGCTGAGGATATACCAGTGCCAGCTTTTGGGGCTATTCTTGTCAGGTAGGTAGCAATTTGGGGATAAAAGTACCGTGTCCCTCACTCTCTGCTTAAATTCCTGCTCTAGACCGCAGGGACACTACTGCTCTTCAGAAAAAAAAGAATGAAAATTAAGAAAAACAATGAAGAAAAATAACTATCTTCATTTCTCGTCCTCTTTTTTTAAGGTCAAACTACTACTTCTTAAAGTTGAAAAAAAAATAAAACTCGAGTCCAAGACAAGGCACACCGGACTTCAGGCCAAACAGTTAAAACTTGACCAAGTTCAGCGATTCAAACGGGTGGTTTTAATGAAAAGTATCAGGAAATCTTAACAATAGGCTTGACTACCAGCTCCACCTATAATATATACTAATCCACTAAAGACTATTATTCTGGCAAAAGTGAATAGCAGGAGTATAAACTTGTTCCTTGAAGGCAATTGTTCTAATCAGAAAAGGTCAAACCTGGGGAGTCAGAAATAAACTCCAGTACGCATACGGCCAGATGCACGGCCAGCCAAAGAAATACTTAATTTGACCGGTAGCAAGAGAACAGGCATGACAGTTGTCAAGAAGTTTAATTCTCATCCCAGCAACAGTTAGGATTAGGGGAACTACTCATTAGTCCTGCAAAAGCAATCGGTGTTACCGATCCACAGTACTGGCCAGGTTCCATAAAACAGGAGAGTGCCAACATTTTTGGCAAGGTTGGGCTGTTCTGTGCAACCCGCCTCCCAAGGAGGACTACCCAAAAAGGGCTTGCGTGCCTAGAAGGTGAAGTTCAGAAACGCAGACTTTATCTAATCTATCTGGCCCAGCAAACAAAACACTCAGTGCTCTGCACATCCGCCCCAGCACAGGAACAATGAGACTGGGAAGTGCCTGGGCTGGAAGAGCCCTCCATGGAAACAAACACTTAAAAAGCCATTTACATTGTTATACAAGTCTCTGCTGGCAGCGGGACAGCACTGATGTATCACAGAAATCAAATACTTGCACAAAGATATTTTTATACCGCTTGATACGATATGGATTAATGCCTCCTGGTGCGCGAAGGGGCTGCCCAGAAGACCTGATGTTGCTTGAATTCTTCTGCACCTCCATTTCCACCTCTGGGGGAGAGCATTCGCTTTGTGTGCACTTGGTGTGTATTTTCTCCAAGGGACAGACACGGTTACATCCAGCCCCAGTGACATGGCTTGCAAAGACAGCTGCAATAGCAGAAAATCCCCTGCCATGTCCAGGAGATAAGAGCCCAGGGCTAAGAACAGGGAATTCTTGATTTCCAGCTATCTTTGGCTCCTACAAAACCAAGTAATTTTTCATCCTGCTGCAAAAAACTCTTAGCTTTTCATAAAACAGTAACCACAAATACAAGGATTTTTCTGTAGCTTACATAAAGGGGTTTCATTTCGCTGTTCATAAGTATGGATATGCTTTTCTTTGGGAAGGCACGCACAATGTTTGTAACAAGCTACACTTTTTTATTTTCTATTCATACTCTGCCTTTTGAGACATTCATCATATGCTCGACATAGTATAGCAGATAGTCAGGGCCACATGAAAATAGTATCCCTACAGATGGCTAATAAATCACTTTTCTCCCAAATAATTTGAAATTTACAGGACTGAACGCATGGCCAAGCCATGCTTCTCATAACGAGTCGTAGAAAAATAATCTGCCAGACTGTATCATGGAGGGTAGACTTTTTAAGCTCTTTTCATTTAAGTATTAAACAATTTTTCTGATGAAAATTTCTTTACCTCTTAGTTGTCTCAGTACAATTTGCTTGGTTTAGGCAGTAGCAAAAGCTACCGCTACAATGCTTTAGTATAACAAATGTTTAGAATAGTATTTATAAATGTATTTTAAAAGTCTTATTTGAAAGCAGGTGAATTCCCAAGTCTTTCTTCATGGCTCTCATACCATTTTACTTCCAATTTTCAGCATACGCAATGGTCATACATTTAACTGTAATTTGGAATCTGTTTATATACAGGTGTTTTTAACTAAGATTTTAATTAAAGAACTGAAATCATGCTCTGAAAATACGCTACTGAAATACCATTTATACTGATTAAGGGCTTAGAAGTATTTTATCTGAAAAAGAGAAAGACACAGTCCTACTATCCTTTCCCATACAGCACCTCTTAGTCACAAAAATAGTTTAACTGAAATAAAAAAGGTAGCACCAGAGGACCTGCAGGTGCCTGTGCTGTCACAACTACAGAATGTCATTCGTATGGCTTAGTTTTATAGGCTTATATAGTGTTTTGTATGTGCATATGAAGAAACAGCAGCAATAATGCAAAATGTACCAGGTAGGCAGACCGGGTGCCTGCTGACATCTGCAATCTCAGGTTTGCAGTGGAAAATTATCTGTAGCTTAGAGCTGATAAAGGGTCTGAAAAGCCTTTTTTTCCCATTTCCTGCTCTCCCAAAATAGCAACAAACCACTAAACATTCTGTGTGTGTCTGTATGTCTGTATATACTTGGTTTATGCAATGCATAAATGGTTGCATTTTCCACAGTTTGGTGAAGCAACGTTAGTTCCGTCCCAGAGGATTAACTACTTGTGTTTTCTAATTGATAATCTACAGATCAAAATCTCTTCAGTAAATATACATGACAGATTCCACCTGAGCAGCGTGGTTTATGCTATCAATATTTCCTACACTATTAGACTTACGTTATATGCATTCATCAATAAAATAAAAGTGGCTTCTCTAATCCTAAATATTCTCTGAGTGTCAGGTGTTACTTGAGAGTTTATGCAGCCTGGCTGGGCTGTACACTTAACTCTGTTCGAATATCAAATTTGCAAAAAGCACAGTTTAAATGTGCTGTTGCGACTTCGATTTTAATGTATAATTAACATTCAAAAAGCCAAATTAAGTTAAGTATTTGGTCTTCTCTAAACCTTTACATTAGAATTGTAACAGTTATGCTATATGTTACTTTAAATCCTTAATCAGAACACACTCAAAACGTAACAATGAATTTTGGATTTTATGTGCGTAGCTACTTTATCACTTTGTGCAAGAAATGTGATGAAAAAGTGAACTCAGAACAGGGACGAGATTGTGCAAATCTCAGTATCTCAGTTCTGGATATAAGCAAAAAGCCAAAGCTTCTGAACCAGGTATATAAATTAATCTGAATACATTTTCCACATCAAGAAGATGCAAATATTCAAAGCAGCTAATTCATTTTGCAAAATCAAACATGAGATGGGATTCCTCTCGCTTAACTTCAACCATCTACATTTCAGGGGTATGGTTCAACCTCACCGTGTCCGTGGAGAAAGACGGGCACCTCCATAGGGCAGCGCAGCCCATCACCCCTAGGCACTGAGCTCACGAGGGAAATCTCACCCAGCACCAGGCTCAGGCACCACATCTCAGATGGGTAATGCCAGCTGAACAAAAATCCCACACACGGCTCTGCTATTTAAATGAGCAGGAGTTTTATTTTACAATATGGCTTAAAATACTGGTCACTCAGGATACACATCCTCGCAGGATAGTTTTCCAAGGGCATACGCCCGTGGGCAGTCAGGTGCAGTACATCAGACAAAACTACTGACAGCAAAAGCAACAGGTGAAGAAGGGCTTCCAGAACACCAGTTTTAAATGCTGCCCCTAGTGGGAACAACCCTCTTAAAAAAACGGAGCTCGCTTTACCTTGAAGTACATGGTATTGACAATATAACATAGGTTGCTGAGGTGAATAGAAAATTCCATGTATTTCTTAGAAAAACAAAAAGACACACATTTACGAAAAAGAAAATCAAAATTGGGAGCTAATTGCTTTTTTTAAGTATGCTCCAGTGATGCAACTGGAGACGTGACTGAATTTGTGTAAGTGAGGAACCACGGAGCAGCTTAGCAGCCATCCTTGTAGGAAACCTCCACGGTTCCTCTACGGTTTCATGCTTTCTGCTGATCTCTGCCATCCAAAACCCAAACATAAACCAGGCTTCAGTGACAGTCAACTAATTTGCAAAATTTCAATGTGAACTTTAATCAGTCTCTCCTCTGGCATTGACTACATAATATGACTGTTCTCAACAGTTGCTTCAATCACTTGTATCATCTTACAGTCTTGCAAAATCTATTCACCAAGAAAAAAAAGCCATTACCAATATATGAATTACTGTCTAAATACTAATACACTAATCAAAGCGCTGTGTAATTTACTGTCTTTTTTTTTTCTGCTTCTACTCAAACGGAGTTCAGAAACAGATCTCCACTAAGCAGCAACGACGCTGATCTATACCTGTCATTCTGACAGCAGTTGATCTATTTGCAAATTATGGGTCATCGGAATTTAAGAGCGGCTGGCACAGAGAATGACATGGGTTTAAACCACTGTTTCTGTGGAAACCCTCGCTCATTTTGGACAGGTGACACCACTCGCCGCCAGGCTTGTAGAACCTGCGTTTCCAAGCGCGGTGACCGCGGGCACCGCGGCCGGCGCTGGGTGCTGGATCTCAGCGCGGAGCAGTGAGGGGTCCGTTACCGGCGCCGGCACTAAAACCGCAACCCGAGGCACAGATCGAGGCACAGGCCGGGGAAGGCTGCAGCCATGCGCGTTGTTTAAGGCACCCCGAGCCCGTTTTCCCGCGGCCGCGGGACGCGCGGGGCACTCACCTGTGCGCACGGCGAGGCTGGCGGCGGCGCCGCCCGCGCGGGACACGATGCTCACGCGGTAGCGGGTGCCGGCCGCGAGGCCCCCGCACGCGCCG